TGGCATTTTAAACGAAATGTTGAACGTAATATTGATATATCTACGTGAATTACGTAATTTATATGCTATTTAGCCGTATAAAAACTGCAAAATGACTCAAAATTAAAATAAGACTACTATGAGATTGATGTAAACATCCAATGCTTATGTTTTCGTCAGTTAAATATGCTTCATATGCATATACAAATAAACATATAGCACAAAAGCTTATACTTTTATTTCACACCAAAGCTACACTGTTTCCATGTAAATTTGCAAAGAAGCAACACGGTGCCGCTGCTAAGGGAGCGGTGCGAGAGAGACAACTGTCAGTTTATCGAACCTTGTATTATTGAATCATGTGACACCTATACTATGAATTGCTGTTGTCTTAGAATTAAGTTGCGATAAACATCCGCGCAATTGTCGGTGTCCGATTTGAAGTTGATCCTTTTTATTGTTAGGGGTGTTCATAATATGTAGCATTTCCAAAGTATAGCGTTTATGGTAATGCTTTTCCTTTTCTAAAATTGTTACGTTGTCAAAGTTTGGATAATGTCCCGTATTCTTACAATGATATAACAAGGCCGTCTTGTTGTCCGAAGAGTTGTTCCTTAATTTAATATTTGACTTATGAGCGGAAATCCTTGTCTTTAACTTTGATTTAGTTGGCCCCTCATATACCTTATTACATACGTGGGACCCGTCGCCATTGCATGGAATTTTATACACTACGTTGGATTTCTCATAATTCAGAATCTTGTCTTTTGTATTGCTGTAGATTTGTCGTAGTGTGTTATTATATGTAAATGCCATTGTATAATTTTCGTTATCATATATACACGAATTCTTAACCCTTTCGGATATCCCTGGAACATATGTCGATGACTTGTAAATTTTGTTTTCCCCATTTTTATTTGTCCCCTGTGTAGTGGTAGCAACGTAGTAATAACGAATCATTTTGTTTACCAACGACAAGGGGAAGTCATTATATTCCAGAATTCTTTTAATAACACAATATGTTTTGTATGATAAATTTTGTCACTAATCGAGAGGACCCTTCTAATGAAGTTGTTGGCTGTATATAATTATCTTTTTCTCATGTTTGGAGTGAAAGTTAATTAGTCTCCCAGACGCAGTCGGCTTTTTGTACCAGCCAATCGTTAATAAATTATTTCTTCTTATTACTAGAGTGTCAAGATAAGATAACTGTCCATTGTTTTCCTTTTCTATTGTAAATTTAATCGAATTGTTGTAGTTGTTGAGTGTATGTAGCATTATGTCCATATCTTGTGTTTTAATAATGGCAAATAGATTATCAACGTATTTGGTGAGTAAACGCGGTTTGTTGGTGGAGTCCCTTTCAAATTTGGCCAGTAATTCCTCCATTACTATATCCGCTATTATAGGTGAGGGTGGAAACCCATTGACATTCCTGATCGCTGCTCGTAGGTTTTGNTGTTGTCCGAAGAGTTGTTCCTTAATTTAATATTTGACTTATGAGCGGAAATCCTTGTCTTTAACTTTGATTTAGTTGGCCCCTCATATACCTTATTACATACGTGGGACCCGTCGCCATTGCATGGAATTTTATACACTACGTTGGATTTCTCATAATTCAGAATCTTGTCTTTTGTATTGCTGTAGATTTGTCGTAGTGTGTTATTATATGTAAATGCCATTGTATAATTTTCGTTATCATATATACACGAATTCTTAACCCTTTCGGATATCCCTG